GCTTTTCAGCATACCTCAGATTGCCTTTTCTCTTTTTCAGACAATCTTTTGTAAACCCTTAAGATGAAAATCATGAAAATCAAAGTAAACTTCTGAATCACCTTGACGTGTCTGCCTAGCACCATCAACCACTAAGTCACATTCAAAGTTATTTAAACCCCCAGTAACACTTTATTTTAGGGTGTCCTTGATATACACGTTCCATGTTCTTACTACAGTTATTATAATTAATTAGGCATGAATACTAACCCCAAACTCAAGTATGGTAAACATGTCATTCCCATCACCTGAAACTTGTGTTCATCGGTGGAACACAAATTAAGATATTCCAGATCACTTTAAATTAAGTGGCCTTAACTAGGATGTACTTACACTGAAATTAATCATTTGTTAAAATGTACTTTTTGTGTGAATACACGTTTTTACAATGTACTTATGATTGATTAAATACCTGTATGTAATGACATCAGTAATTAATTTCTGTAATTACACTGTTGTCCATCCCTTACACATCAACTCGCCCTTAAACCTACCCATACCACCAAACCTGTGCCTAACTGATCCAAAATTGCACCAGAAGTGTTCTGCAATACATAATAAACACAGTAAGTACATTGTAGTTAGTTTTTGATGCAAGTACAAAGTAGTTAAGGCAATTTAATATGAAGTGGGACCTCCAGATGAAATCCATGAGCTCTTTATTATGGCAATACATTGTACTGCTTGAAATCAAAATGAATATCCTGACCTGATGTCTGAAAAAAGACAAAAGGTAAGCAAAGTTTTATATGATTACATTGAACCATAGGGAATGTTGACAAAGTTTTTTGATTCAGTTTATGGACTTTGAATGCCTTGTTACCTTTGCTGTCTATACAGGATGAGAGAGCTCCAGTATTTCATCTAAAATATCTTAATTTATACAACAGTTCTTTTGGTTCTTGAACCTGATTGGCTAATAGCCATGCAATATTCAGTGCATCAGCTGCCATCAGCCTGTCTGAGCAGCAAGAAAGTGACGGTTGGCGTTCCGCCACAAGAAGGCAACAGAGACTGCATTACAAGTCCTTAGGAGAGAAAAACAACATTTTCTCAGCTTAAGTTTCAAACTACAGCAGAACAAATCATTATAAATAAGGTAAGCTATCTCTCTCTTTTGTATTTTGTATTGCTACAATTATACCTCAGAAACTGGTAGTGTTTGGTTTGCTCTGGCTTTTTTGGGGTTAATTATTGTAAAATCCCGATTGCAACAGAGAAATACTGGGAAATCTCTGTAGATTGATGAAATTTCATGTCGTTCAGCCTTATAACCTTAAAACGTGAGCAAAAAATACCTGTTTTGACATGACTTTAGGCATTACGCTAGAGAATCATTCAAATACTAGCTCTAAAGTGACGTTTGTAAACTGGCAACGGTCAGCTACAGATGTGAATGAGTGGTGGAAGAAAATAGTTTCTTTATACAAAAGGGTTTTTAGACTCTCCAGGTTTAATTTTAATTTTTATACACATGATAATGCTGTCAAACTGTTGTATAATCGCAATATTAAACTTGTAGCAGTGCGATATGGCACTGGGCCTGTGCACACCTCTCACCAGTGCTAATATACAGCCACATCACACTGCTACTTATGTGATATTGCTCATTTGTGTTCCAAAAATGAACAAAGATCTCAGAGGACAACACGAGAGTGAGTAATTAATAACATTTTCATGTTTGAGTGAATTAATCCTTTAATTAATACCACTGTGCAATTAAATGAATAGTTACACTGTGAGATCACCTTAAAATATAGTGTAAATCCCTTTTCTTTTTTTATTCTGAAGGTTTGTTTGAATTTAAGCAGATAATCTTGACCAAATCTACATGCCTAAATGCACCAATTTGCTGAAATAAAAAAAAAATGTTAAAAAGATTAGTTGACATTTAAAGGTTGTAATGAGTTTCCAAATTTTATTAACAAAGACTTTTTTTAACAGTGTGCTCACATTAAGGAGGAATGAAATGCAAAGATATATCAGATATATGCTGATGATGACCCATCCCTCAAGGGGCTAAAGCGAATCTGTTTTTGTCCCTTTAATTCATTCTGTCAAAATAAACGCTTTTACAGCAAACACATTTGAGGCATCATGATTTTTATCACTCCCACTAGACACAAATCTCTTTTTTGCTAGTATGTGGCATATTTAGGGGGCATGGTAAGCAACCATCAGCAAGGATGAGCGCAGGGGACTTACACCTGTGTCAAAACTAAAACACATCAGTTCTGGTGCATGTGATGATCTGTTGAAGAATGCATGTGGCAGAAATAGGCATGCATGCCTGTCAGTTTAGATAACTGTAAGAGAAGTTCCATTTTCAAAACTTGGGAGCCTATCACAATCACTTTATATGGATCATTGGGAGATCTCACATGAGAGCATGCATGTATGTGTGTCTTGTGTTTCGACCGCAGGACGAGCGCAGTTGAAGGAGAGGGCGAATCAGCACTCCGGCAGGGTGATTAACGATGTGACTTTTGTTTTGGTGACGGGGAAGAATTCACAGGCCGCACGGGCATTCACAATAATGCTTGTCTTGTCTATTTGGCTGCAGAGAAAGCATTAGTAAGCTCATCCTGAAGAATAGACAAAAAGAGTTACCCTTGAAATGAGCTAGCTGCTTTCACTTAACCAATTTTCCTTCTGTAAATGAGTTTTTGTTCACAGCAAAGTAGATAATGAGAGGGAATTAAAGTGATAACAATATTAAAGACTGTTACTGAAGAAAATCCTAAAATGACCTAACCAGCAGCTCAAAGGGCATGGGGTGGGGGTAAAAACTAAAGACTAAAAGAAAAAGACAAAAAAAAGAAAAGGAAAAAAAAAGTGATTAACTGATAAAAGTGGTCATTAAGAACAGAAACATGAAATAATACACAAATAAGTGGATTATTGATCAAAAAGGAAGTCAATCTCAATTAAACTACTCTCCATGTCTGACAATGATATAGTATGTTATAGCACAACAACAACAAAAAAGCACCTTCTGATATTGCTTATTACAAGAATAGTATTTGAGCTTAAACTTAGCATGGCTTTACAACAGTGATAGTTAATTTTTTATGCCTAAATGCTGGCATCCTGCCTAATCTCTTATAGGACTAAATGTACATTTTCACACTTTACATTTGAGTTCAACATTATTCAAATCTAGATTTAAAACTAATTCCGTGTTCTGCACTTTTCGCCCCATAGACTTCTGTTCATAGACGCGCAGTGGTGGAAAGAGTACTGAAAAATCACTCAGGAAAAAGTATGATTACTTGCCTAAAAATGTATTGCGAGTAAAAGTACCGGCTGTAAATATTACTCAAATTATGAGTAAAAACTAGACATTTCAAAAGTACTCAAAAGTAGTGAGTAAGGAATATTATGCTGTAAAAAGCATTTATATGTATTTTGTGCATGGGTCTAAACCTAACATTCTGTAACGCGTTTAGTTATTGCCCAGCACACGTCATAAGTTGTTAATATAAGGTTAGATTTAGGTCGTTATATCAGGTGACTAAAATTCAATGTCTAGCCAGCGTCTAAGGACAATGTTATTTTGATGTTCAATAACAATGTCAAATGAGTGTATTTTGAGTGGATTGTTAGAAAGTGACCAAAATACAACAGAGCCAACATCTTAAACCAACGTCATATTGACGTCAAATACTGACATTTATTCATCAGGAATGGCAACTAAAATTCAACATCTGATAGACGTCATAGCGATAACATCCACACGATGTCAAGCTCATTAGACATTAATATTTGCTTGGTTTTAGACTGAACGTTGGACACTGACGTTGGATTCTGACGTCAGCCAGATTTTTATTTCCAAATAAAATGCAACGTCCCATAACGTTGGGGTAAAACATCAATTTGACTACATGATGACGTCTTGTGCCTGCTGGGTGTTTAAGGCCATTTTAGTCAACATACAGTAAATGTCCGCCATCGTCTCATCAGTGACGAGCATCTAAACAGTCTCTCTAAAAATGGTCCATGTCTTGAGGTAGTTCATTATGATGCGATTTACCTTCTATGTGCGATTTGATTGGACAGGGATCACAGGACTCAAAAATAAAGTAGTGACTGCAGGTGGAAGGAAAGTAATGGAGTAAAAGTATCACTACAGCACTAAAAATGTTCTCAAGGAAAGGTAAAAGTACACTTAAAAAAAAAAGAGACCTGAGACCAATCAACGATCAAAACATGACCTCTTAGGACAGAAATTTAAAATATGGACCAATCGCTCGCTTTTTTTAATGTCTAACCATCTTGTTACATCTTACCCCTTTTTACAGCACTATACAACAGAATATCACATGTACAAACTTTAGTGTGACCACAGCATTAGCAAAATTAAAACTTCTTGTTTTCTTTTTTCAATTTCATTATTAATACTAAGAAATAATTCTTAAGCACTAAATCAACATATCACATAATACTTTCTGAAAAATGATTCATCAGATTTACTAATTCTTTACTAACACATACTATTAAACTTTTTTTAACAAAAAGAAATTAAGGTAAGTTTAATTTATATGGGCTGGATTGAAACAAACTAATTAAATTTTGTAATGTTCAACTTAATTTGTTTGTTTAAATTTAGCCTATATAAACCTATTTGCAACCACTTACCTTAAAAAAATGTAAATCCAATAAATCATATATCCTGTATTTTTATAAAATAAAAAACAAATGTAAAAACAAATAAATAATACATTTACAGTGACTTGTGAATGTCTATTATTTAAAAAATAAAAACAAAAAGTATTTCCCTTCCCAACCTATATTATTATTTACCAAGAATCTGTCTCAAAAATTTACATAAACCACACTGTTTGTTAACACTTGTCCTCCTAACAGTGTATTGCTCTACCTTGCCCTTCAGTACTCTTAATTCCCCTCTCTTGTTCCCTCTGCATGGTTCTCCCTCGTGCTTACCTCCCTTTCTCTCTCAGGAAGGGTGGATGAGATAAATGGAGAGGTGATGAAGAAGAGGAGAGGGGAGCAGCGCTGCAGCACATCCTGTGCTGATCAATACCGGAGCACTAAACCTGATGAGGGCCACGCGGCCACTATACACCAACACCCACAGAGAGCATGACCGCACGTGTGAGAGTGGTAGACCAGAGAAAATAAAAGTGAAGTGTTTTTTGTTGTTGTTTCGTGAATATGAACAGTGTTTAAAGAATACACCAAGAACAATTAGCACCATTTCAATGTGGTCATGTCATTGGCCCATGAACATTTTCTGCTTGTTATCAAACTATTTCATAACAGTAATAAGAGGCAATTCAATCGTATCTTAATGTTAAAACAGCTATCATAACCTTATTTATCAATACGTGGCTCTTTTTGGATTCTCAGATGCTATAGAAATTAAAAATGTAAAACAAGAAATACGTTGGGACCATACTTTTTGTTTACATCCCTCAAAATGGTCTATAACACTAAATATATCCATGTGTGTTCTAAAATTTGGCTTAAAAAGTAAAAAATATAATATTATAGTGATGAGTCGGACAGTTACTTGGAGAAACAATCAAGATTAAAGTGATGGTTTCTTTGAGTAAATGTTTACTTATTATTTATTTAAATTTTTTATAAATGTTAAACTGCTGTATAAAGTAGCAATAACTGAATTCAGCGCAATTAATAAAATATTTGATAAATATTTTAATATACTTATCAGCTAGAATTAATAACATGGATATTTTAAAAAACACTGACAATAATTAAACAAGATTTTTTTTTGGCATTACAATTTCAAAAAATAGTATTACAAGCTTTTTACTTTATTGCCTATCATTTAATGAATTGAAATAATATTATATACTACAATTTAAATTTATAAAATTAAAATATTAAACATTAAAACCCAGAGTAAAGGCGAAAATGGAGTGTAATAATATTTCATAATATAATATATAATCATTTTTACTGATTGTTTTCATCAAATTAATGCAAACTTGGCACAAACTAATGGCATATTAAAAGACTTTTATTGCAGTTGAGTTTGAATTATTTATTTTATTTTATTTATTTATCTAATTAATTATGACTTAATTATTACCTTTTTTTGCATTTTGATATTCACTTTCAATGAGAAAATATGATTAATGATGTCATATAAATACTAATATATGATACATTAATAATAGCAACAGCATTGATATTAAAAAATAAATAAGTAATACATTAATATTTGTAATTATAATATCAAATTATACCAATATCTAAATACATTTACTAATATAAATATACAAGCAGATAACATTATATAAATTATTATAAATCTAAATATTATTAATGATTTAAATTGAATACATCAAAAATTTTGATTTTCATCATAATAGTTCATCCTTAGTACATTATTTATCTTTAGGAGTGGTGAAGAAAAAAAAAAATCTAAATTTAAAATGAATAAATAAATCAGAAATCGAAAGAACAAAACGAAAAGTGTGTAAGGGGAGGAGGGCAGTTTGTATGCATGTGTGTGCGCGCGCGTGTACGCATACGCACGGACTAGTGTAATTTATGCCCAGGCGTCCATGCTTTACGGCTTTCTTAATTCAACTCCTGCTACTATTAATGTAGTTAATGTTGAGATTATATCTATTTTCTGGTGGCTGCCGGGGATTTACGAGGGCCTTTCCTCCCCCACCCGGTCCCCTGAAACACTCAATCACCAGACACACAGAGCCGCACTGCTGACTATACACTCCCTCCGCCGGACGCTGGGTCACTGTGCTGAAGGGTGAGGGGCTGAAGAGACCCGCGTCTGTCTGCTCATGTGTGAGACAGAGAGGGGCTCCTGCTCGTGCTGGACTGCGTTCGGCCATCTGTGTGTTTGTTAGCCAGCTAATACACAGAGTTTTGTTTTGAAAGCATGTTGTGCGTTCATATTTAACATCACAGGTTTGATTCAGTGTCAGCACATGTAGTGGTACAAAGATTTAAATGCTGCCTGATGCCAAGCATGTATCTTCACTACACTGCACCTAAAAATGCTGTGTTTCATACAATCGATTTGTGTTGGGACAACATGAAGGAATTAGGTTTACAAACTGAAGTGAATTAAACACAAAACAATTAAGTTCACCGCAAGGAAAAGCTCATTTTAAATAAGTAGTTTGAACAAGGAGCAAACACAATTTTTTGAGTGAAAAAAAAAAACAAGGAAAATAAAATTTAAGGATTAGTGTGGATTTTTTTTGGAAATAGAAAATAATTGTTTTTAAATGTATGCCCTGACTTTTTAATAGAATGGTGATATTAGATATCTATACTAGATATTTTTCAAGACACTTCAATACAGCGTAAAATGACATTTAAAGGCTTAACTAGGTTAATTAGGTTAGGCAGGTTAGGGTAATTAGGCAAGTTATTGTATAATGATGGTTTGTTCTGTAGACTGTCGAAAAAATATATAGCTTGAAAAGGCTAATAATTTTGTTTTTAAAATGGATTTAAAAAAAATTAAAAACTGCTTTTATTGTAGCTGAAATAAAACAAAAAAGACTTTCTTCAGAAGAAAAAATATTATCAGACATACTGTAAAAATTTCTTTGCTCTGTTACACATCATTTGGGAAATATTTAAAAAATAAAATAAAATTCAAAGGGGGGCTAATAAGTCTGACTAGGTTAATTAGGTTAACTAGGCAGGTTAGGGTAATTAGGCAAGTTAATGTATAATGATGGTTATTTTTGTAGACTATTGGAAACAAATATAGCTTAAAGGGGCTAATAATTTTGTCCTTAAAATGTTGCTTAAATAATTAAAAACTGCTTTTATTCAAGCCGAAATAAAACAAATAAGACTTTCTCCAGAAGAAAAAATATTATTGTTCTGTTAAACATAATTTGGAAAATCTTTAAAAAAAGAAAAAATTCAAAGGGGGGCTAATAGTTCTGATTTCAATATATAAAATAAAATAAAATAAAATAAAATAAAATAAAATGAGGCAGCACGGTGGTGCAGTGGGTAGCACAATCGCCTCAATACAAAAAGGTGGCTGGTTCGAGCCCCAACTGAGTAAGTTGGTGTTTCTGTGTGGAGTTTGCTTGTTCTACCCGTGTTTGCTTCGGTTTCCCTCACAGTCCAAAGATATGCGCATTAAGTGATTTGGGTAGGTTAAATTGTCCATATGTGTATGCGTGTGAATGAGTGTGTATGGATGTTTCCCAGTGATGGGTTGCAGCTGGAAGGGCATCCGCTGTGTAAAACATATGCTGAATAAGTTGGCGATTCATTCCGCTGTGGTGCCCCTAGATTAATAAAGGGACTACCCAAAAATAAAATAAAATAAATGAAATGTAAATAAAAATTTTGATATGTGAGAGGGTACGCCAATTCAAGTTTAATGATTTTCACACCTTTTAAAGGTATTTAGGAATTAAATTTAAGACCCTTTTATCAGCTTGTAGTTGTAATACAAATTATATCAGAGCTGGTGAAAGAAAGGACTGCACACCACAGAGTATAAAATAAAATAAAATAAAACAAAACAAAACAAAACAAAACAAAACTAAATTAAATTAAATTAAATAAAATAAAATTAAATTAAATTAAATTAAATATAAAGAAGCAAAAGAAAGAACGAACAAACTGTGGATGCATTCTTTGTACATTAGAGGTAGTGTTATGTGAACATAATTTTTTGTTTTTTATAAAGTAAGACATAGAACACAATACATCAAAGAACTGAACCTACAATTCTGATTTGAAATAAGAAACATTTTAGGATTTTACCTCTAACAACCCTGCGGAAACCCTGATTAAACTTATAGAAAATGGGGAATGTTCCATGGCACTACATAGTTAAACATGCAGATATTTTAAATGCATCATTTGTCACTTTGAATATATAGGCTTAACTGTAATGTCTGCCAAATGTGTAAATGTAATAAGAATGTGGCAGATGGCCATACTCTAAGATACTCTAAAATAAGCATCACCAACAGAAGAACGAATGAATGAAAAGAGAGATGGATCGTTAAAAATGGTCCCTTATCTTCTCTTCCCCCCACGCTATCTCTCTCTCCTTCTCATTTCCCTCTCTCTTGTAATATTTCACAATGCGTCACAGAGGTTCAAATTGAAAATCCCTTGATGAATCAATATTTATTGCAGGCAGCTAAATGAATGGCGGTAAGTCACCACAGCTCAAAGGCAGTCTGAAGCCAAGCACGCGTCTCACAAAATCTGCATTACACAAATGAAGCCCTGCAAACACACTCGCTTACCCATTAAACACCAGACAGCACTGCCCCGGCAAACCTGAATTACATGAAGCATCACTGACCTGCACAAACTTGCATAATTTGTTGAATACATTATTTCTTAGATTTTAGTGTAAAATTAAAATATAATAATAAAATAAAAGTATACAGTAGCTAATTAACTTACCTACATTTGTACTTCTAGAATTCATATTTCACTCTACATAACTCATATTTCCATATAAATAAAATGCCTGTAATATGTTTTTTTTCACTCTAAAGTACATAACTACTTAGATGAACTGCATATAAACAAAACTTGCAAAGTTAAAATGTATTACTAAATGTTAAATTGTAGTCTTACCTTTAATGCTGAGCTGTAATATAAATACATATATAATATAAATTTAATTATAAATTCATTTACATTTGTACTTTAAAGTACTGTATAACTATATGCATTTATATTGCAATTATACAAATTACATCAGGGGCCTCATGTACGAAGACTTGCATTGAAATCAAACTAAAACATTGCGTATGCACAAAGCTGTAAATGTGCAATAAAACAATGCGTACGCCGAATCCCACGCATATTCTCTTTGTACATCCAAATTAACGTGAAACTGAGCGCACATGAATGAGCGCAAAATTCCTCCCAACCTCCTCCCCCGTATGAATAAACTCATGACTCTACTTTGGCAAAACCAAACGAAGAAGCAATGGCAAAAGCAAGCAAAAGGAGAAACTTCGAACTGAATGCGGATTGGAGGTGCGCCTATCGGAGGTAGACCGGAGAAAAACTGTGTTATTTGCAAGTTTGTCCTCCGGAATTAATAACAAGAGAGCTGACGCTGGTTGTGGGGTCTAGTAGGACACCTCGTTGGAATGAGGTAAATAAGTGATAGTCGAGCGGATATCGGCAG